GTATCCATGATCGTTTATGTTAATGAGAGTGTGGGGAGTGAGTTGGAGGGCGGGATGGGGTGGGCTGCTTGTAACCATGTAAAACACTTTGTGCTACATTTTTGTATGAAAAGTGCTTTATAAATAAAGATTGATTGAATGTCCGCCCATCTTCGTCCTTAACCATCCGGATGCATTTAAACTGTAGCTGCTTATGAATCAAAATTGTTACACCCCTACTCTGACTGCTGCCACACGAAAAAAATACCTGACCCACCCAATCACAGCAAAGTATTTCTGACTCTTGGGGAGACAAGTGAGTCTCTTGAAGAAAGACAATGTCAACTTTTTTTGATTTGATAAATGTCATGATCTTCTTCTTTTTAACTGGATAATTAAGGCCCTTTACATTCCAGGTCATTAAGGTAAGGGCCCTTTGGTACTTACCTTAATGACCTGGAATGTAAAGGGCCTTAATTATCCATGAGTTGGTCTTAATTATCCATGATGGCGAATAAGGGCCCTTTGGTACTTATTCGCCATCATGCAGTATGTATCAGACATATAACAGTGGAGTAACTTATTATTAAAACCAGGAGTTCAATACTGAGTGGACAATATTTGGAAGGCTGGCTGTAAGTACAATAGGGGCTTATGGAAGTAAATAAAAATAACAGCCGATAAACATTTAAACAAATACGTCTGAGGTGAAGAACACTAGTCACCCTCAGGTGGGCTATGAGCCCCAAAAAGAAAACATAAAGTTTATGGTCCGTGACTCAGTGACCAGTCGAACAGTCATAAACAGGACCCGTCACCAGCAGCAGCAGCATAACAAGTCAATGTAATATGAGGAGAGCAGTCATTCTGGCACTTAGCTACCTGAACACACCTCTATGCAGGTTGGTTAGAACTGTCCCCTGACAATCTAAGAAGGGCTTTATGACAATTGAATTACTAAAGGAGGAATTTAATAATCTTAGTGAGCTTCTCTACCAAGCAGATTGTGTCGTATTCTCAAAAGTAGCACAACTGAATAAATCAAATCAAACCGCGAAGCCCTATAATATTGAAACTAAACAGGAGGTGCAAAGTATATCGTGGATAGCATGTTAATTAATGCTAGGGCAAAAAAGGGTGGTGTTTAAATCCAAGCCTTTGACTGTAAATAACTCCCTTAACCTCCTAGGACCTGGCATCCACATATGTGGACATCACATTTTGGGTTATTTAGACCAAAATACTCAATTTTGCTCTACAAGGGCCTGATATCCACTTATGAGGACATTATACTGCTACTGTTCTATCGAAATTTTAAAGGAATATCTTCATATGTGGCTCTTATTTTTCTTAAAAACAAAAATAAGATAAAAAAAAAATCTGGCAATTCTTTGTTTTTACATTCATCGGGCCCCAATGTGACCAAATATCAAAGAGAAATTAAAAATGCTGCCGTGGAAGAGTTACGAAGAGTTTTCCTTTTAATGCCATTTGGAAGTAATAGAAAAAGTAGCTCATATAGACAAAGTGAAAGGGCTTTTACTCTGAAATGCAAAATCAGACAGACTTGATATTAACAGGATACCACTGAGGTTGTGTGGTGTTGATATGCACTGCAATTAGCCTGTGGAAACAGGGATCTTCCTTTCACCAGCATTCCTAAGTCACTAAAAGAGTAGGTTATATATGGGCAATTTCAAAGGGCTTTTATTTTGGAAGGTAAAATCAGACTGACTTGATATTTACATGGAACCATCGTGAAGTCGTATGCTGTAAATAATTGCAATTATCATGTGGAAACATAATGTTTTCTTTTAAAAGCATTCTGAAGTCTTGAAGCGATCACAGGAAAATAACCGCGGGTGAAGATAAACTTTCAGGAAGTTAAGAGATTATCAGTACGAGTGAAGAATGTGTCAGATTGAAATTCTGAGAAATACAGAACTGCATATTACACATTCAAATGACAAATATTGGGAAATACCATATTAATTAATGTTGTCACGAAAATATTGCAACTTTAATCACTAAACTAGGCCAGGATCTAGATCTAGAGCTCAGCCCCAGATATCTTTTTGAATTCAGGGATGATGATGTGAAGGGGAAATTATGGTTCAGTGGTGGAGCAGTCTAATGGAGGCTGCTCTTGTTCCTCAAAAACTGGAATGCTCCATTTCATTTTGCAAACAGTAGGGTGATATTTTCCCTAGTAATTCCTGTGTGTTGATGTTAATTGCTGTGGAAGTGCAATCTTGTACGATATAGGTTAGAGAAACAGAATACAACTGTTGCAGCTCACTTTAGAACTAGTTAGCACATTAGTAAATGTATTTGTACCCCACGCCTTCGCCTACAGGAGAGGCGCAAGACTGTTTTTGATTAAAACAAATTAAAACAATATTTCCACACCGGAACGTTAATGTGTGATCGTCCTTCCCGAGGAAGGAGGAGAGAAAAAGGCAGACGCGGAGAGTGAGCCGTGAAGTGTATCATGTGAACCACCCGCATCAACACAGACGCAGTCAGACGCTTTGGGGAGGTGACTGAAACACTTTGTGCTGTGTTTGCGAAGAGGACGTCCGATTTGTATCCTTCCTTTAAACGAGACATAGATGCGTTTGCTTTTAGAAACGCCGCGTAAAACCGGTCAATTCCTCCTTTAACATTTTTGTATTATTATTAATTTTATTTCTGTTATCAGGTGGCTCATCAGGGCACTCTCGATGGGAATCTCGACAGAAATTACAGTTATTGCACTTCTTCTGCAGCGCTGTCCCCATGTGAGCAGATATTTAACCCCCCCAACACACACACACACACACCTTTTAGTAGGGTTTTTAAACACAAAATAGCAGTAATGGCAGTTTTCGTCTCTGCCTTAGGGCATATCCAGCGTTATAGCTCTTTCAGTGTGTTTACAGGTTGAAGCTGTTCGTCCTGAATGCGACCCAAACTACATTTTGCTCCAAGATGAAGTGTCCTGTTTGGAGCTGCTCAACAAGACTTTCATCAGCCAAGGACAACAACAAGGCGAGTACCACATTTTTATCTCGTAATAAGAAAGAAAGACTAAAAATAAATAAAAGAACTTGTATTTTATATTGTAATGAAGATTTCACCATGACCTGCCCAAAACATATCTGTTGTAATGTGGTTTTAAAAAAAACAAATATGAACAAACCACTAAGCTTGATAAAAACATCTACTTTATGTTATTACTGAATACATTTGTATTTGCAACAGAAAGGCAGCTATTGTGCCTTCTTAATGGTGGGCAATCTCAAGACAGTATTTTTTCTTCTGTTTATACAAACTACTTTAGTATTTTTCCAGTAACACATGTTTGTTCTTTCATAAATTTTGCTGCCAGTAAATTTACTGAATTTATTTACATTTCTTACTGGGAATTACATGACATCACATTTGACCTCGCAGATAATAAACCTGAAAAAGGAGCAAAACCAAAAAGTACAAATAGCGAAAGTGAAACTGAGGCTGTTCACTCCAGTAGAATCCAGCATTGTGATATAAACTTCAGTTTCACAGCTAGTTTGACAGAATGGCTTAAGATTTTCTTGTTGTCATTGTAGAGGTATTAGAGCTGAACTGAAGTCTTTTCCTATGGTGTTATTTTTGTGCCACTATTCTGAGCGCACGTAAAAAAAAATTTTTGAGGAGAAATTTATTTTCAGCGAAGAAAAGCTAAATTTGAGTGAACAAAATTCATTGCTGCATG